TTTTTCTATGATCCAATGCTTTCGTACCTATTCAAATTCGTCGACATTGTTCGATTTTTTTGTGGCACTAGACGTTCGAAGATTTAGTACAACAATTCATTCAAAAGATCATATCAAAATCGTTAACGACCTATTACAACTTCACCCATATACTTTTTGATCAAAGATGCCTACTGGTACAATTAGGATGCTTGTAAGTCTGAACATCAATCACTGCACAACAGTGGCGTACCCAGGATTCCCGTTCGGCGGAGGGGGGGAGGGGAGCAGAAATTTTTTTCGTGAAGGTGCTTGGCGTCAGCCACGCACTTCGAAAACTTTTTGGGATGCTTTCCAGAATTTTTGCGGGCCTCGCCCCGAAATTTCTTTGCAAGGCTAATTTGAATTCTTATATTTTTTAAGAAATTGTTTTCAATTATTTACAGGTAAAAACAAGTCGCTAGCACATTTTTTAACACATTTGCAACCATTCTCGGGGGGGGGGGGGGGGAGGGGGAGAGGGAGGAGGAGAGGGAAGCGGAGGTATGCTTGCCCATGTTCAAACTATTAGAAATCCCGTCGCGCGTTTTCGCCGTTAAACGCTAGCAGATCGCGACGATTTCATCGCCTAAAGACAGTGGATCGGCAAAATGGACCCCTGTCAGATTTTGGTAGGTAAAGGTAGTAGATCCCCGAGTACACCACATCCCCAACCCCATTCTCAATTCATGCTCTAAGTTCTGAAAAAAGTGCCTCAAAACTCCACCAATGACGCCCACTCAATGCAAGCGGGCTGGGCTGGTGGAGTTTTGAAGTGCGTTTTCAGAACTGAACGCAAGTATTGGGGGAGGGGGGGGGGGGAGCACGGTTTACTTGGGGGTCTACTACCTAACGCTACCAAAATCTGACTAGAGTCCATTTTGCCGCCTTTAATGTATGTACGGCTCTTGAAGGCAGTGGTTCGGAAAATGGTGAGTGGGGAATTTTCACAACTACATGACCTTCTGGACCAGCTGAGTCAGCTACTGTGCTTGAAAGGTTAAAAAGTTCTCATTTGGCGTTTTCCGACCTTGGAGATTGTTGGAGAAGCGGGGCGAGGAATTCCGTCAACTGTATCGTATTGATTGTCTGGGCTGATCAGCCAATTGCCGCGAAAGCAGGTGAAGCTACAGTATCCTGCAGTCACTCGCTGGTTATGGTGAGAATCCCTTACCTCCCCCCCCCCTCTCCAGCAATCTGCAAGGCCGGTAAACTCCAAAAAAAAACAACGCTTTTTTGATTCAAGCGCAGTACCTGATACCTGACTTAGCTGGTTCTGAAAGCCATGTAGCTGTAAAAAGCCCCCAGTCGCGATTTTTCCGAGTAACTGCCTTTAAAGGCAGCGTCCAGGCAGTTCGGATGAGGGTTCTTTTGTTTACCTCTTATATTTCCCGCTAATTTCGAAAATGCAGCTTGGAGAGCACGAAAACGTCGAAAATGAGCTATTGTGGAAGTATTTGAAACTGGACGTCTTCCGCCAAGGTTAAGAGGCAGAGTTGTTGTAAAACCCTACGGCTTGACTATGTGCGATATGCGCGCTCTGACTTGTCGAACTAACTCATCCTGGTCGTCAGGTCAGCGCCGATCGCCACTTCTGAAGCGGCTTTTTTTTGCTTCAGAAGCAAATTGGTGCAGTGCCACTTGGATGCAAGCTTTACCAGGTTGGGCGAATCTGTTTTTATAAGCTTTCGTATCCGGCCGGACGCTGCCTTTGAGTTGATATTGACTTCCTAGTAATAGAGAGGCGGACTCTTGATGGTCAGCAGAGATCAGGACCTGAACACAGGGCACCGCACGCGGTGGTATCAGCGCAGTTTCACCTGCCTTAATAGAAAGCTGCTCGTTCACAAGTGACTTACGGGGTTTCTTTTCTTCAACTTCTCAAAACACACGAATGCGTATGTCCAAATGTTGTAAAGCCCCTAATTGCTTTCCCGAGCGATTAATCCTTTCATTGTTCGAAGTCGTTAAAGGTCGAGAAAGCATCTAAATGCGAAAGTGTATGAGAGTAAACTGAGATGCAATAATTACGGCATCATCGCGAGGCATTTATGTACAAGTTTCTCAACTCCTCCATTGTTTTCAATATTGTAGTGAGTTTGGATCATGACTTCATAATTGACTTGAAAATAAGTTTGAAGAAGTGTGCGCCCTCACTGTCGCCTACAGCATGCTTATGGTAAGCTTCGAGACCCAATGTCTGCGATCCTTCCACTTGTTGATGTTTGCAGCAAAGCACTGCCTTAGATTTTACCAGCTCATTGGTATCATCCACATGGAGGACAAAACCTGAAGTACTCATATCACTTCACGAGTGCACCTTTGCCATAGAAGTTTATGTTCACAACCTTCAAAAGAGCGAGTATTGCACTGGCAAGGTCTCTTTAGAATTGCTGACTCAAGTTTTTTCGTGACTGCATTGAGTGCTCCGTCAGATCTTGCACCTTGACTACTACAAAATATGCTCCGCCGCACTAAAACTCAATGGGGTATTTAGCTTGAAAAGAAACCAGGCTAAGTGGCCTTTGCACCGTCTAACTGATAAACCGCATGAGAGGGTAGAGAGGTATGGAATGGGCTTTGCGTACTGTAGTTTTCGCACTAGTATGGAAAACGCGAGCTGTAGTAATGATCTTAGCAGTCGTTTGCGAAGCCTCAGCCACGACTTTAAAGCCAGCTAAAGCTTCGCAGTATAAAGCGGATCATCTTATCGTTACTCTGGGATAACATAAGAAATTTCAAGCACATAGCGCCATTGTTTGTTTGCCATCTCGGACAATTTCCGCGAAGATTTCGAGAGTTCGTGTAGATGGCTTGTAAGCACGCCGACTTTTTACAAATTCTATAGCAGATTTAAGGGTGTAAAAAATTTAGGGAACATCGAGGCTACTGCATTAGATCTGACGCAACTTTTCAAAGAAGGTTAGTTGGAGCAGCGCTTCTGGCTTAGAGTAAAAATTTTAGATCTTGCTTTCTCTAAGAGAAGATTTGATTCTAGAAAGCATGAAACCGCTAGTAACTCCTACAACAGCGATGAGCTATTGGTGATTCTTCTGCGCTGCAAATCCAAACCGAAGCCAGCTTTATCAAGTAGCCAGAGACAGGGTATTTTATGGTAGAATGCTGTATCTAACGATTCGAAGTATGCAAAGCTTCGTAAACTATGATACCTCCATCGAAATGGTGTAAGATAAAGACTATTAGTGCATACCTCAAAATTTTTGGTCATTCAGCCTTTTCCATCTAAATTCTACTAAGTTCTTTCAAAAGTTCTGTCCGTTTGTTCGAACGATGATAAACTTTTATGTGACAGAGAACTGAGTTCACTCAATGCAGCATTTTCTTTCCGAATGTTGCATGAACCGCAATCTTTCACTAAACGGTTGTTGAAGAGTAGGTAAATAAGAACGGGGAAATTTTGAATTATATGATACTGCCTATAGAAGCTTCTAATCTGCCTTCTGCAGCTTTACGAAATCATTTGAGAAATCTCGGTCTTGATAAAGTCATAAAACACATAATCACAGCAAAAACACGGAAACTTTTGGATTTCTTGTTCAATCCTAATCGTTTTCGTAAGAAACAATTTCTTGATTTTGGTTCTTTTACTCACCTCTCCCTAAATCTGGCCGGAAAGCTTGCAAATAAACAGTTACTGACGTCAGAAACTTGATCTAGGTTTGAAATGTAACCAAAGGTTTAGTTTACTCTACATCACAGTTACTAACCTTTCTGAAGTGTTAGTATAAAATTCTCCAAAGTTCAAGGAATATCTAGCATATATATCGTGCTGTTCAGAAACCATCGTGGTAACTTTTCCAATACAGCATAGATCGGAAAGATGTGCTTATTGTGGTGAAAGAAGAGAATGATACCCTTGTCGTTTGTCGCCCAAAATTGCATAGGTTTTTGTGAATGATGAAAGCAGACAAAACTTTTGAGCAACCCAATATTACAAGCAATCAGTTGAGATCAAGCTCTAGAAAAAGCGAGAAAGGTTGATGAGGAAGAAAGCATCAGCGTTGACGACAAAATGGTTCACAACGATAACTAAACATGTTCTCGATTATTTGTTGTAGTTAAGCTCATTTGTATATCGTAAAACTTACAAAACACCTTAACACAAAGATTCTAATCGTAAAAGAAGGTGTACAAAACACCTAATTCAAAGGTTCTAACTACACTTTTTTAACTGACAGTAATCTGAACTGGTTTTCTCACACACACTCGATGAACTGAAATCACCACTTCTTTCGTTTAGAAATGCAAATTTTCTTGATTTATCGTCGTTTTTATTACGACTCTGTGTAAATTAACATTTCTAGCACCATAATTTGGAAAGAAGTGATTATAATTTCAAAATTTGGATTGAAAACTTGAACGTCCTTTTCCATTTCTCTCTTCTCCCAAGATTAAAGACCTTAGTCACAGTGACTTCCCGGTTCTAGTCTCACTTTAAAAATCCTACTGTATTCTAAAGACTTGCAAAAGTGGAGTCTTTTGAACAAACGGAATCGATCGAACAGCAAAAAAAGTAAGATGGAGTGGCTAGACTTTCATGAGACTGGTTTCGGTAGAATAAATCCGTCTAAGATTGATACATTACCAGATTTATTTTATAACAAGGGACGTTCCTACTTCAGGCATAGTGTTGTTTCTAAGAATTCATATGACTGACGAGACTTGTTTTAGAACTCGATATGTCAGTATTTCATTTTCCTCTGTTTAGATGTATGGCAACAAGAGTCCAATCATATTTTTTTCTGCTGACATTTGTTCGGCAATTCCTTATCATCAGCCCATCTGCCGTTGCGGCCTAACGAGGCCTGGACAAGAACTGCGGTAGATAGGCCCGTTTTTCGTGATTGTGACAGGCTTGTAGGCATGCAAGGCCTTATCATCTCGTGCGACCTTCGCACATACACTTTGCTTTATCAACTCTGAAATTTTGCCTTTACGCAACAATTCATTATTACAGAAAACTATTTTGTTTGGTTCTTAGTGGGGACCCAGATATTTTGTTTAATTGCTGAAAAACACTGCTCCCAAAGAAGCTTTCAACATGGAGTTGGTGCCTTTGAAATGCATCCTCTTAGCTGTAATGGCAATTGTTGTAATATTCTTCGGCTTGCTGCCAATAAAGGTAAGGCATCTCCTCGTCTTATGTTAGAAACTGAACTCACCAATGAATCTTTTAGATCCTTAAAGTGCTAAAAAATAAAAAAGGAAAAGTTGAACGAAATGCGTCGTTTATCATCTCACTGCTGTCTTGCTTTGCCGGTGGTGTATTTCTGGGCGTTTGCTTCCTGGACCTAATGGTAGACGCAATGTAAGATTTTCAATATTTCTATTTTTTAGAAGGAGCTACATCTACAATCAAGAGTTTGCGCGCTCGAAATCTACGGTACTATCTCAATAAATGTATGACAATTCAGAATTTTCTCAAAGCAAACACTATCAAATCCAAAACAGGGAATTTATTTTGAACAAGGACATAGAACAGCTTCTGTTGCTTTACATACGCGAAAATCTCTGCTTTGCAAGACAGACCAAAATATGTATATGGCTCACTATTGTTTGAATTAGAAGTTAATCACGACTTTGCGTTCTTTAGCGAGTTTCTTTCACTCATAGAGTCTGACCTGCCTTATTGGATAATTTGGAACTTAGTTATGAATTTGCTTTTTTGGCGGCTGCTATGCTATGCTTGGCGATGCAAATGTATGCGATCAGCTTCTTAGGTTTTCTATTTTAAAAATCACGAACCCCGTCCAATGATATGAACTTATTATATGTTGAAGGCGTCAACTGCGAGAGTACGTTTGGTAATATATAAGTGCGTGTATGAAAGTTTAAGACGAATATGAGCATAAATGCAACTGCCTACGCGCATTGTTCTACTGTAGTCGACACCAGAGAAGCATTAAAAACTCATCTTCCTTGTTTACCTGAAGCCTACTAACATCAGAATACGCTCATCTCATCTATGTTATCAATTATATATTTCTTTCAAAGAATAGCTCTCTCAAGTCTCTACCAATATCTCGTCTCTCAATTGCATGCATTGACATCAATGTTTATGATTGATGAGGTGAGGAGTATGCACACTAAAAAGTTGTGGTGCCGTGATATGACAAAAACTTCGATGAGATAATCAAAATAGTCATTTTTATTCACACCACCAGACTACGAAAATGTGAAGACGGTAATTCAAATTTTTTCTAAGGAATAAATGTTTATAGTGTATTATGGAAGAGAATAAGTGCTATATCTATTTCGGAAATCTTATTTTTATTTTATTATTGGTAAATTGGAAAAATGATTGTATTGCCTTACTCTCAATAACTGATGAACAAAAGGGGAAATAGGAGTAGCGGACGGGGTGAAACGCAGCAAAAGCTCTACTACATGAATATTACATATAAATATGAAAACAACTATTTCTATGAAATGCTTAGTGACACTGAGAAATTTTGATTTAACAAAGAAATTTAGGGAGTCTTTTGCGGAATGGAAGGAAATGGCGGAAATGCACAGCGACTATCCGTTCGTGCCATTGTTCTTCATGGCTGGTTTTTTCATAGTGAACATCCTCGAAGAAATTGTAGGAAAGTTCTGCGGCCATGAACATGGAGTGTACGTTTCTACAATCGAAGTACCTCAAAAGTACAGTAAATCATTTTATAGGGAAGAGAGAAGACAGCATGCTGCAACAGTTTCGATCTCAGGTGCTAACAATGATAATCTGGCAGATTGCGAAAGTGTAAGTTATAAGTGTCTCAGCGGTCCTCCTTTCTAAAGTGTGATTACAGAAATCATCATGCCCATCTTCAATAGAAGAAATAGATGACGAGGATACAGCTAGAAAAGTCGTAAAATCATTAACATTTGTTCTAGCACTATTATTTCATGCAAGCTTAGAGGGATTTGCTTTCGGTGTAATGGTTAGTTGACAATTCTAATTGAAGTTTTTTGAGTTAGAAATGTTATTCAACTTCATCAAAGAAGTTTGTGCTTTTTGGGATAACGGTCAATTCACAATTGTCTTTCATTAGAAAATTATTGTGGTGAAGTTTCACGAAAAGACCTTTTTGCACTCTTGAACATGCATAAGCTTGAATTATGCCAAAAGTGTTTTTTACGCTCTAGGTTCTGATGGCCTTAGCAGAGTATACCTGAGCCTTCTCAACCTCCTATTTCTTCAAATGTTTAACTGACAGCAAGCTTATCCAAAGGTTTAGAAAGGACTCTGTTAGTTAACCATTTTCTATAATTTCAGCCAACCAAAGTCTCGGTGACTACTCTTTTCTGTGGCATCATCATACATAAAGCTGTGGTGGCTTTTTCGGTTGGAACGAAACTTACTGAAGCACATCCACGTAAACCTTGGGTGGTATTTGGCTTGATACTTCTCATAGCTCTCATTACTCCTGTTGGTGGAGCCATCGGAATCAGTGTTGAGGTATGAAATGTCTCCATTTCTACTTGACTCAATAACGAGTCGTTTAGAGCTCTGATATGGATGAATTGACTAAAAATGCTGTTTCCTGCATTCTTGTGAGTCTCTCGTTGGGAACCTTTATTCACATAACGTTCTTCGAGGTGAGTCAGCATCCGCTTGTACTATTAAAGTCTAGGGCGGACAGTTCGATGTGTAAAAAAATTAAGTATAGCGGCTTTATGAGATGCTTTTGAAGTTTTTTGGTGCCGTCAAATTTGCAATAAACATATTGACTTGCTCACTAAATCGTCACAGTCATCTAAATTTATTTGTGAAACGTCCTACCAAGACAAGATCCTGCTTTTCTTCATGCGATAGTTTTACAACCCCGCTAAAAAAAATTTGATACCAAGCAACTTTTGAAAATGACTGTAACATTTTTGGATGTCACGTGAGCACTCATAGGACACGTATTTTAGCGAATCTCTGTGCACCACCGTAGCCTTCCTGCTAATAAAAAATAGCAACGGTATGCGGTTATCAGTGTAGCGAAAGTTATCGTTATCGACCACTTTTTATATGCATTTTCTTTTGACAAAACGTGATCCTAATAGGCAAAATGAGTAGATTTTTGAGCCAGTGATTAAGACCCTCTAACAAGAAATGTAAAGCAAATACGAAAAGGTGGAACGTGTAATGGTAGCAAAGCACAAAAAAAGAGATTCTCCTGATAAAAAAGGGAATAATTACCAGTAGAAAGTTGCTATAGTTGTTATTGACTTTCAAGAACAATGAGTATTAAGGCACTGAGTTGTAAGAGTTTTTAAAAAGCTTTTATGCCAACTAGCCGCGCACAATTCAAGGTCGTAGACTCGGCTATATTTGCAAAAAAAAGAAATTGTTTTAATCCTATACATTATCCTGGTGATTCCATGAAAAGCTCCTCTGTTCAGATTTTGGTGCCAGAAAGCTTAAAAGGATTCAACAGATTTGCTCAGTGGCTAGTAACTATCGTCGGATTTGGGATAATCGCAGGAATGACCACATTTGGACATGGCCATAGCCATGAACATCACCATCACGACCACGATCACGGTTATTTGAATGTTTCTCATTGACATTGTTAAGTGAAACAAACTAAAAAATTAGAGAAGCGAAGTCACTTATGTCAAAGTGACTAGGCAGTGTTTTGAGATCTCGGCAACTACCGGTAATTTGAGTGATTTTTGATAGAAAATTTGTGCAAATATAGTACTGTATTATGGGAATAAAAATTTCTTATATCTGCAGTGCGACACTTATTAGCGGAGATAAAACCTCGGAGTTCAACATAAAAGACTTTTCTAAGAGGAAGTAATAGGTTGACAAAAATAACGTCCGCTTTTCTAGGCCTAATCTCCGAACAACATTATTTTTTTCAAAATTTTTTCAATGTAGATTCTGCACATTGAAAAGCATTCTTCATGCTCTTTATAACAATGGTGAAATAAAGCTTCTATCGTAAAAAATTCACCAGCATCTCGCACAGCTACACTCAAAATTGTGATTTCGTTGCTTTAACTTCCTTAGCCACAATTCTTCAGGCGCAAATAAACGAATTCTTTTGAAAATATAGCCACTTTATGGGATGAATATTGTTTACCCACTGAAAAATCGACTCTCAAAATTACTCGCTGCATGGCACTCTATGGATCAAAATTTTTCCTGTTTAGGGCAATCGCCAAAGGTTCGCTTTCTGTATGCTTGAGGTGAGGACATCTTGCCTACAATTTTTGCAGAAAAACTTAACTATTCCGTGCACGAAGAATTCCTAATTTTCATATTTTGGGGCCTTCTGGCCTACTACAAAAGGCTCAATAAGTGAGCAATTTTGGTTTTCTATCTTTTCTTTTCGCAAGTCCTTGGAGGTTTTTCTATACAAGGGTATACTACCGGCTTGCGTCTACAAAAATAAGCGGACTAGCAGCCATAGGAACAAAACTTGGAGGGAATTGTAATCTCTCAGAGTTGAGGCTTCTAAAAGAAAAACTTTCGGTTTTTTGACGGATGGTTTTTTTCCCGTTGGCGATATCAGTATATGTAGGTGCGCGTTAGATTAAAAAGCGGCTTCTAAGGTCTTGATTGCATTCAAAATGAAGACTGGACAAAGTTATGGTCTTTCGTAAAATTTTTCAAACGAATGTTATTTTTGCAACAACCAATAACATCGAGACACTGCTTACAAGGGCAGAATGCAAACACTTCTTGCGTTACCAATGCAAGTTTTTCTTTCTAACTGGAAGGCATGCTTTCAAGGATTTGTCCTATGCTTATTAAACGCGAAGAGGAGGGCAATTCTGTGCGCACGCATTTAGGTTTACTAGCATTTCTGCCCCTTTGTACATTGATGGAGTCGATATTCTGAGCCGTAAATGGAAGGGACCATTTTCAAGGAAACGATCCCAACTCTGATCTTATTATATCACAAAAGAGAAGATGGCGAGGACTGTTTCTTTTCCCTTTTTTCCGAATCGTTGGCCTCTTATCTTAAGCTCCCTTCAGACTTGGCCATTGAGAACTCAATGCATTCTTCTGCCAGACAACGCCCTGAATTTGTTCCAGCGTCAAAAGAAGAGAAGGTTTTTGGCCAAGTCTGAAGGGAGCTTAAGATAAGAGGCCAAGTCTGCTTTCAGGTAACCTTGATTTTCGCCCCCAAAAAGAATGGGGTTCGTACTCCACAAGGATACACGGTCTGTTGAGCATCAGGCAGAAATTCAAAAGAGCTCTTTCAAGTGATTTTTGAGAGATTAAATGCATGATAATTCCTGCGAGAAAAAGTGAAGACTCATCAGCTATCAGAGTCAGTGTTGTGTGCTAAGATTGAAACCAAAAATTATGTGATCATGGAAATCGGCTAATTATGTGCTTATGCACCGTTAAATTGTCCTGAAGTATTCGAGTAGATTGAGTAACGGATGTCTCCATTAGGCACCGCGTTTACGGACTGCTGGTCCTACAAGTGCGCGTTAGCTGTGCGAAAGACCAGCTCAGACAGTCGAAGGAATACCTCCGGAGCGAAAATGGGAGGGTCCTGGGATCTGCCCAGCGGGGGTTTGCCACCACTCGTACTTCGGAGCCCTCCCATTTCACCCATTCACCCTTCACCGTGACGTCACCAGAAGGCGAATGGGACCCTACCCCGGGGCTCGCAATTCTCTGCTCTGGAGGTGCGCCAGATTTGGGGAGCCCCGGAGCACCAAAATGGGTGAAAGGGAGGGCTTCGGAGCACGAAATGGCAAACCCTTGCCATTTGCCCTCCGGAGGTATCCCTTTGACTGTCTGAGAGTGGTCCGCGGAGGCGACGCCTAAACAAGGTGATCGTTTCTCTTCCCGACTTATCTACACGAGTTTGACGTATTCACTTCTATTCCAACATGACTATGTGGCGATCACAGGTATGTCGGTCGGCTTTAACTCTCAGGTCGTGCGATAAGTTTTGTAGCATTTTTTCAAATTTCCTTCTCAATATTTTGCGTGGTGTCTTGCAAGTAAATACGCATCAGAAAGTTTCAAGTTTGCTTTACGGAATTTTCCGCTTCAGTTCTCCACATGGGAACATTTGAAGTAGTTCCCCAGCATTAAATATGAAAAAGAGGAAGGAATCCATTTTCAACCGCTATATTACGTCGCCTTCCAGAAATGCGTACAAAGAAGCTCAAAATTTCTAAGACGCCTAAGAAAGGAATGCTATAGCTTTCAAAGCTTCAGAAGTGCTGAGTTGTTTTGAACATTACTTCTCTAAACTTTACAAAAGTCTCGTTCTTAACGTCTTTCAAACGTTGATGTTGGGCGTCTGAAGGCAGCCGTCAAAGAATTAAAAAGAAGATTAAGCGATAATTCAGATGAAGCTGAACAAATGGTCTATGTCTATAAAATCATCGACTTCATAGTTAAGTATCAAAAATTCTAAATTTGAGGGTCACACGCTTGGATACTCTCGGGTACCTTTTTGCTGACCTTCATACAAGAAGAGGAGCTTTTGAGTTCCAAATTATCGGCCTATGTCCAATCTAATCACCGCTGATGAACTGAGGAAAGCAGCTTCAAAGATCCTTGGTAACACAGCCTCTGGTATTGAACCTCTGGAATTCGGCCTAAAGCTGCTAAGTATGGCGTAGAAGTCGTGCGTAGGAGAAACCTCAGCTCGCGAATATCATAAACCGGCTGTTTGAAAATGATAGCATCCCTACCGACTTTGTACACGCTACAATGATACTCTCTACAAAAAAGGCGAACGACATCAAGAACTATCGCCCAATCTCGCTTTTGCCGACAATCTCCAAAGTTTTAACAAGAGCCCTGGAGTATCGAGTAGAATGGAAAGTACGCAACCGTTTGCCAGTTGAACAAGCTGGATTTCGACGGAATTTCTCAACTGTTGACAATTTACAAGTTATAATTGAATCGATTGAGAAGACACACGAGTACCATTTACCACTTGCCCTTCTCTTCCTCGACTTTCAAAAAGCGTTTAATACGATCGAGTTTAGTGCAATCTGGGATGCTCTTCGTTACTTTGACGTTGACAACGATTTCGATGATACAGCTAATACCAAGCAGCAACAGCGTCAATCTAACTTGGTCACATCAGTGCTTTATTTAAGATTCAGAGAGGAGTCCGTCGAGGAGACGCTCTGTCACCAATCATTTTCATTGCCTGTCTTCAATTAGCACTTGAATCGATCTGATGGGATGAAGATGGGTATGATATTGGCGGAAGACAACTTCGCTACCTGGCCTTTGCTGATGACGTTGTGCTTAAGCTGTCCAGCACGACTACAGGCAATAGCAGTGAAGCTCCTTGATGCGCGCGAGCAATTTGGACTTCAAATCAGTGGAAGTAAAACAAAATGGATGGGTGAAGATAGAGACAACGTTTGGACAAATAGTAACATCAAACTGATTGACACTTTATCGATCGTGTATATTCCTATGTTTATCTTGGCCATTCAGTGCAATGTCCGCATAATCACGATGAAGAGATAACCAGACGCATTGAATGGCATGGAATGTTTTCATCAAAATTCGAAAGTTTCTCACCAACGAGAATGTGGCATATCTGAAGGTCGTTATTTTAACACCGTAATTCTTCCGACACTCACATATGGCTGTGAAACGTGAGCGTTAACAAGAATTCTCTAACGAAACTCCTCAGAGGTGAGAGAACGATGGAGAGATTTTCTGCTTTCCATAGCTTGTCATACATTTTCGACAGAATTTTAACTGATGCTACCGATTTTTATACTTGGGCAGCTAAATCCTCGTAGAACATCAAAAAAAGAGCAGCTCGCGCGCTATTCAATTCAGCATTTACTCCTCTTTCTAACAGATGTTTTTTGTTTCCGATTCGTTTATTTTCCGGGGAGAAATCATCATAACTTTTTTTTATAGCGAGCCCCAGGCTGTACCCGAAAAACTCGAAATTTGATATTTCGAACCCGTAAACCCTCACTTGCTTTGTGAAATTAATGCTGGCTCATAATACCATCTTGGTAGTCTCAAATTACGAAAAATTTGATGTTTGATGCGATAGTGGCTGAGGTGGGCCTGCCAAAATCCGATGGTTCTGTTAAAAAATCTTTTAAAAAATTACGGCGAGCTGCGAGAAAGAGAAAAAGCAGTACTGTATTCTGTAAGGTTTACTCTATCGAACCGTTACTTGAACTCCTTCTGAGGACTGATATGAAAGCTTTAAAAATCGCGAAACTTGACCATCTCAAAAAGCATGAGTCGCAGATTTTGGTTATTTTCTGAAAGCTTGTTGACTGTTTTGCAACAGTTTTACAACCATTAGAAAGAAAATGAAATTCTGCATCGGACGCTACCAAGACCTCTTAGAAACCTTTCTTCCATCAAATGTGGCGCCCGTTTGAAAAAAGCGAAATTACTTTCGGAATGACCTAATATAAAGTATGAACAATATGGCTTATTGCGGTTAACAATCGATAAAGAAGATTATGATGCAACTTAATATTGGCGGAAGTACCGAGTTTATTGTTGTCCAACTTCATAAGAATATACTTTTTCTACGTATTTCATAATGTTCATTGGTTGCGTAGCAAACTTCTTCAACACTGCAAAATCCCTTGCTTCAGCTTATAGGTTTTGAAGTCAGCTACTATTAAACAAGAAAGAGCAGCAAAAAATTTCAACATCCTTAATTGTTTGTTAATATTAAAAGACTGCAGCAGTAAAAAGCGATGATGACGTCTTCATCCGAACAAAATTTTTCATTTTACACAT